CGTTTCAAGAGCTTGAGGACGCGGTGCACACTGGAAGTTATAATTGTGTGATATAATAAGAAAATGCCAGGTAAATCATTCCTGATAGGTAACAGGCCGTTGTGTCGGTTGAAAGTGTAATTTGTGTGACTAAAAATACGTGTTGCTATTCTACAGCAGTAAAGTCCACGTAGCGTGCTTTTAACACGTGCGTAATCGCACGTTTTCGGCATTACCCCAGCCAGCCATACTTTCATTTGCAGGCCCATAACTTTTCAACGTGCTGTATAAATTTCAAATAGGCAGCACACTTATGCAAAGACATGCTAAAGATTACTTGACCGAATTGGCCAGACAAACGGTAGCATAATGAGTAAAAAATGCAGCTTCAAAGGCGCATGTAGTACAAGGGAAACGTACCTTGAAAACGCTCTTGGCGCCCTCACAGTCGAAGTATTCCGAATGACGACTCGTAACAAACATGCGATAATTGTAGTCACTTAAGCTTCAGAGCATCACTGACAGGTGGCATCCATGTTTTACGGTTTTCGAAATATCTCGAATTTCGGCTTTGCCCCAACTCCGGCATTGCCCCAACTTCCCCTAACTGCTCAAAAATATTTGTCAATAAATAAACAAACAAATAATGCGTCTTTTTCTACTGAAAGTAAGTCCTCCAAGTGGCAAGGGATGAATAATAGCAGGTACCTAATTAATTGCCATCTATTCATTCAATTCATAAATCATAGGCAATTTCAGGGCATCGATCGGCAGCGCCCTTACTGCATGGTACTGCGGATCGTCCATGGGTTTCTTGATGACTCCGACTCTGACTCAGACTTTCAAAAAGCAACTCTGACTTTGATTTCAAATGTTGGCTCTGACCGACTCCGACTCCACAGCCCTAGCAGGTCTGCAGAGGCAATGGATTTTGGGTGACTCCGACTCCGACTCTAGCTTTCAAAATCGACTCTGACTCTGACTCTGGTCAGAACTGTCGACTCCGACCGACTACAACTCCGACTACGGAACCCTGAAAGGTCTGCGGAGGGGATCGAATTTCGGTGACTGACTCAGACTCCAGCTTTTAAAATCGACTCTGACTCCGACTCGACGACTCAGGTCAGAACTGTCAACTCCGACCGACTTCATGACTCCGACTCCGGAGCCCTACTGGCAGCTATCACGCCAGGGAGCTGCAAATCATATGTTCCGTGGCGGTTTATGGCATTAAAGTCGATAATGCGGCTGAATCGCACTATGGAACACCCTTATTGGCTGCAAGAACCACGAAAGTTAGCGCATCACCACTGGAAAACGTGACAAGATATCGATTAATTGGCCCTGGATTTGGATAAATAACATGTTGATGATCATATTAGCACACATTTACATTATCATCTATCTCAAGGTTGCCCTCCAGGCGGCTCTAAACTATGGCAATTTCCCTATCTTCAACACGTAAATGCCCTCGGGCGTCCTCGTGGTGACGTAGGCATGGGAGTGCCAGGTTGGTAGGAACTAGACTTCGACGCCCCCTGAATTTTCCGCCCTCGACCTTCGGTCTCGTGCGGAAAACTCAACAAATCCCTCGGTCCTGAATGAAACATTTTACCGGCCCCGTGTGATATTATATATTCCTCTTCAAAAAAAAGGAGCCGCAGTCGCTGCCTTTTTTGACGGCTCCGGCTCCGGCTCCGGCCCCGGGCTATATTGTTTCACGGCTCCGCTTCCGGCTCCGGCTCCGGGCAAAATATGCCGGCTCCAGCTCCGGCTCCGGCTCCGCACCCCTGGTCGCAGTTCAGGCAAAGTGATACGATACTTTAATTGCAAGACGGGAAATGAGAGAGGAAAAAGTGGAAAGGAAGTTTAACGGGCAATATAAAAGGTTATGTTATCCTAAAGCAATTTGTACATCATTAGTAGTTCCAAGTAATAAATTTTGAAGTGCAATAAAGACATAATTTGAAATGGGAGCATCTATAATTGAGAAATATTTGCCGTCTTTTCTGAATAAATTGACAAGAACCGTCTAAATACCGTAAAAGGGGGTGACTTTGCCTCGCCGGGTGACTTTACCATGCTTCTCGAAAAATGCTTCAGGGACATCTCCCATGATATTTTACGAGGAATGTAGTAATGTTTTATGGACAAATGAAAGGTAATTGATTGGCCTCCCAATATAACTAACACTGAGAGGTAACCTCATAACACAAAAAAAAACTGAGAGGTAAGTTACCACTAAATTCCCAACTAGGCTCCATTTTATTGGAGTCATTAAAATGGTCAAATTTGAAGAGTTCCAGACTTTTTATTATCTAACCATGTCTTAGACCACCTGCGATGCTGAAGCTTGGTATGGTTGATCATGACAAGGCTGTTAACCCGCGCACCGACGGGGGTCTGCGCCAACTTAGTACCGACGGGGGGGGGGGGCGGATGACCGCCCCCCCCCCCTGAGATCTCGAGAACGAAGCAAGATAGCGACAAGCGGTAAACGGCATCGGATACGCACGGTCAAGATCTACAATTTTCATTAAGGTCATTTTCAGGTCAGGTCAAAGATGACGTCACAGGGGTCGAAAAAGTCAAAATGGCGGCGCTAAATATGGAGAGAGTTTTTCTCGAATAACTTTCGAATTAGTCAAGATAGGAACAAACTAAGGGCATCATCGTGATCCTCTTGTCAATCCGCATCGAATGATATATATGTTGACCTCGCAAGGTCAAGGTCAAAGGTTGACCTCAGGTCACGTGACCTCGAGGTCATCATGTATATCATTCGATGCGTCTTGACGAGCTGAACACAATGAGACCATCCACGCGTCTGTATCTTGTTCCTGTACGGAGTTATTGGCCAAAAACCTTTGGTGACCTTTGATGACGTCACATGACCTCACAGCTGCCCAACAGCAAAACAGACCTCAAGGTAGTGAAGGTTGATCGTATATGAAGTCATGTATGGTATATGGGGCCATTCCGACCCGTTTTAGTGGTAGAAACAGGGAGTTGATTTTTCCCCCATTGACTTATAATGGGGAGGTCGCGAAATTGACCTGACCTTAGGTCACCGATATCAAAATTCCGAGATATACAAATTGTAGCTACTAATGACCTAATAACATCCTGCGACTTTCAAAGGCCTCCGACATCTACTGTAGCTCTGGCACGGTGACAAAGTTGCAAAAAAGTGACTTGAGGTTGGGTCATTCAAAGTGACCTGGTGACCTGACCTTGAAAGGTAGGAGGTTCAAACCTGCACACCATGTGTAAAATTGATAAGCGAATAGTCATACCAAATTTCGCGGCGCTACGCGCCGCGGTTTTCCCGCTATTCGCGAAAAACCTCAGGGGGGGGCGGATATCCGCCCCCCCCGTCGGTGCGCGGGTTAAGTTAGCATATCCAACAAAACTGGTATTTGTCACTTCATTTAGCTAAAATTTTTGGTGGTGATTTTCCCAAGTGAATTGCAGGCCACATGGGGTGACTTTGCCACCATGTTATTTATGCAAAAATGGAATACTTATCCGATGTAATTCAAAATTTGTTTAAATGTAGCATCATTTTGACCTCCAAACTGGTTTTAAAAAAGTGAAAGTTTATATGTTTAAAATTAACACAGAAATGCACAGTGGGAGTATAGAAAGGCAAAAATTACCAAAGTCAAAAAATGAATGAAGCTGGGTCCAACTTTTCAGTACAGTCATGATCATCTACAACTCCTTAGTTTGCCAGTAAGACTGGCTGAAGAAATCGGTATCATTTTATAGATCAAAACGCTGATAATAAGGGTGCCGGTAAGTTGCCGCAAGAATGTCTTCTTTCTGTTCCTCTTAATGCCGCTGGAGGAATGTGGCAAGGTCCTAGAGTACCGATACAATCATATTTTTGCTTATTTATCTATTCTCAACCATTTTTCAGTTTCTATTTACTATCAATGCCAATTATTTTCAACAAATATAATGTATTATAAAAAAATGTATCTCTCCCTTTTTGACATGATTCAAGGGCAAAAAACTTTGAATTACTTCATTTTTTCCTATTAAACAATTAAAGATGGTTGCCCTCCCCCATACAATTGAACAAAAATGCTTGAAAATTATTTGTAAGCGTTAAAAAAAACATTTTTTTTTTGACATAGTGGCAAAGTCACCCCTTTTTCAGTTTAACTTTGCCACGACACATTTTCTTTAAAAAATTATACTTTTAGGCAAGATATAAATACGATAATAGCAAAACCAAAAGAGCTAATCTTCATCCGTGTTTTGAACATAGAGTCATCCCTACAAGTTAACAAGTGTAAAGAATACAAGCGTTTAAAGTTGAAAACATGGCAAAGTCACCCCCGTTTACGGTACTTTAAATGTAATATATATAATATATATATATATATATATATATATATATATATATATATATATATATATATATATATATATATATATATATATATATATATATATATATATATATATATATATATATATATATATATATATATATTTCATATGGAATTATATGTCGGGCGAATCATATTGCGTAGGCTGTAACTTTTGCAAATTGTACCGACCACATACCAACTAAAATGATAGGGTGCGCTTAGCTCTTTGAAGATATGAGTTAATCGTTCCCGTATTTGGATCCGGCCCTATTCTCTCAACAACCTGTCTGCATTTAAAATTGAAATGCTACATCCTCTTCGGACAGCGAACCAGCTATTTCCGTCACTCAAAAGCAGAGAACGAGAGTCATGTAGGCAAAAACCGGGTTCCTGTCACCGGAAAATGCAGCGGTTGAATGTAAATAAACCATCGGAGTGGCATGACAATATGGCAATGTTAGGCCAGGCTTATCTGACTGGTTTGTCCCACTGCTTCTCTAACTCTGCCTTCTAGTCCTCTAAGTCCTAAGTCCTCTAGTCTGCGCTTTGTAGGTCCTTCACCTAACCTGCGAACCGTATTGCAGAAGATGCATAAGAGTGCACATGATTCTGTTTCCAAAGGGCACAATTTCTGCTCACCTGGGGGCGGCGTCTGGGCGGCCGCCGAGCAGACCCGTGTCGCTGCGGCTTCTTGCACCCCTCTGACCGGTACCGCCGGCCCTCGGCGCCACGTAGCGCCGTGTTGGGCCCCGTTGCCGTGGACCACGGGTAAGCAGTAGAGGTGTAGCCGCAATCCGACCATGCTGTCGCCGACTGCTGAGCCGTCATTCCAATGTCCCTCGACACGGAGCCGGTAACGAGTTTTGTTTTAGATTGGCATCACGCAGTCCCGACCGAAGGAGGCAAGAGACTGCCTGTGTCTAGAGTTAGGAATTAATGAGATTGATGTATGCGCGTTCGTGATGGTTGTCACTGTCCGAGGTTGCAACAAATAGGAACTCAAATTAATGAGCTTAATTTTCATGGTTGCTGTAAAAAGTGTGCTGACAATTTATAAGGGGGTTTGGGCGGCATTGTAATCCTTGTGTATGGTTTATTACAAAATAATTCGATGAAAGTTTTATCTTGCACATTGCGATGAATTAGGTACAAACATTTTCCACTAGCATATTTACGTGTCAGACCACATGTGGCCAGAAAGCTCGCATAAGTCCATACCGTTTGAGTTTGAAAACATACTTTGAACTTAATTGTCAGTTATAGATGGTTTTAGTTGGCATATTTTGCTATTCGCAGCTATTTTTTTCTATCATATTCCGCATTTCGAAAAACGAAGTGTTTTTAGGTAATCCAACAGATATATGTCCTATGCTTTCCGCAATTCACCGAACTTCAGAAAATTTCCCGATGCAAAGAAGGCACTAACATTAAGCTGCTATAATAATCACATTCAGCACGTCGTGGTGATTAAAAATGCTCTTCTGTCGCATGCGAGACGAGAGCTTGCATGTTTCATTTTCGTAATCACAGAGTATACCCTTCGGGGTGATGTTCCATACGTCGGAGATGCAGTTTCATTTTCTGGTAAATATTTTGCATTTTACTCAAATTCATCACATGTTATAAAGTATTATTATTACATAGATAAAATGAATATCTATGGTTATCATTATGTTATAAATAAAAGGACTTATTTTGATTTATAATCTTTTGAATTGGCTCACGAGCTAAGGCATTTTTTCAAACCTTATACCCGAAATGACAACGGTTTGAATTGTTGATGAATAAGTCTTGAAAAAGACATTTTGTCGAAACACGTGTAGTCACTTAAAAAAGCATAATTCAAAATAGTTTCCATTGTTTATCCCATAGCCTACGCCGGACCAGCGCTCGGCGCCAACTGCGCCGAGCCGGAGGGGGGGGGGGTGTTTCTGGACACCGCCCCCTTCTAACTCGGCTCCTGGGCCACGTAGCGACACGCGGTAAGCGGCAATTGGTAGAGCGTCCAAAAGCAGGACGAAAACACTCAGACATTTTTTGGTAAAGTTAAACATCAGGCATAGGCGGCGGAACGGGGAGGGCACCGCGGCACCGTGCCCCCCTTTGATTTGGGCATTTTAACATTAGCCCTATGGGCGTTGCATGGAAAGAATGGGACCAAAAGTCGGCAGTGCCCCCCTTAATTGAAGGTGTTCCGCCGCTACTGACATCAGGTCACCAGAGGTCATCAAAGATAAAATGTTGCCTATTTCAACGTTTTCCGAAATGCCGGCTCGTAACTCAAGAACCAATTGAGCTACAGCGCCCTGGAAAATCGCATTCGATAGCCCTTTTAGCGTTCTTTCTGGTGTGTGCCTTCATATTCGACCTCAGGATAACGGTTTAGCCTCCAGAAAGCAAAAACCACATACGTGTTAATGAGAACATTTTTTTCTCTGCAATAGCTTTTGACTCAAGAAAGTGACGATATTCATTTTGCCAGCATCATGTTCCTCTGGTCGAGACGCGTCGAATAAACTACAGGTTGACCTTGAAAGGTCATTTTGAAAATTTGACCTCAGGTCAAGATCATGACCTGACCGGAAAAGGTCATGTTGGATATCTGTCGCTCCGTATCTTCGAGTGGAGCACATCTGAGAGGACATTAAGATGGCTCGCTTGAATATCGGGAGGAGGCTCTTGAGCGCATTTAAGAGCTGTTCGAAACTTCAGCGACCGAAAATCTCACCACAGACTAGAATAAGATAAAAAAAGGGCACACTATGTAAGGGATTGTATAGAGAATATTCTAGCGGTCACGCAAAGCAAGCATCCTGGTGTGGTAATGGTCCTATGGGTGGTTTTCAAGGGAGGTGCACGTCATGCACCCTGCTTCATCGAGCCCGGATAAATCAGCACCTCTGATAAAAGCATCCGCACTCTGGCACTTGGCAGACTCACGTGAAGCCGTCGGTACTTGGTCGGTACCAACTGAAGGTCCGGATTACGTCTTACCAGGACTGTCTTACCAGGACTTTGCCCTTGCTGGTGTTGCAGTGAGTACGACATACTATTGTGTGTAGGGCACCTCTCGGTGAGATGAACCAAAAACTTCTGGTCCTCCAGCTCAACCGATTTAGATTTGATGAAATTCTATACATGTAGCGTTTTTTATAGAAGGCTACTGAACAACTTATCATCAGTAAAGACGGTCTTCAGCGCAAGGTACGTACGAGGCTGATGGTCGATCATGGCAGTCAGGAGGTTGCACGTGCGTGCGCGTGCTTATGGACCCGCCTTGAGAAGCTCATCGACGCGGAGACGACATGGATGGGATGAGGGATAGGTAAAAGGCGACCGGTGGATGACATGTAGTTAAAACAGTACTTGGATCCGTAATTTTTAATTCATGACCAAATAAACCTGTTTGCTATTTATTCCTGATGCTGCTGCCCCACCCTGTAAGGGAGACGGTGTACGTTTTGAGAAGTTTTCAGCAGCAGTGCGTGTGAACAACTGTTGTAGTGTTTAGGTCTCAGTCATTTTAGGTCAGGTCACCAGGTCACAAAAAAACGGACCAACGGTACAATGTCGGGATAAAATCGGACTAATTAGCGGCAACGGAACGACAGTGTTTTTCGCTAATAGCGTGAGTGCCGTGGCAAGTAGCCACCAAATTTCAGATACAACTTGGGGCAATTATTTGACACCTGTTCTCGGAGTTTTGGGTTCCAGTAACCTCAGGTCAGGTCACGAGGTCACAAAAACCGGTACAAGTTCAAAATGGCACTGAAAATAATTTGGGGTCCGTTCGGCACCCCCTCCCCCTCTCCCCTATAAGGCGAGGGTTAAGCTGAAGCTTTTCAATTTCCTTTTGCTAATTTTTCATCAAGATTGTAAAAAAAAATCATTATTATTTATTGTTGGCATAGATAACATAAGCGATGAATCATTAAAAGAATATGCGACGGTAGCATAATTTATGTTATAGGTAGGTATGTGTTAAATGGGTCTATACACCGGATCGACAATCCGTTACCCTTGACTCCCATGTTACACAACCTTGGAACCCATTAGGGCTGGCGAAAACGGCGCCGAGGCTGGAGCCCATTTCTGGATGATGGAGGGGGTCATAGGACGCCAGCTAGCGCCGCTCAGCCACGGGCGGGCACCGCTCGCTCCCTAATTATCGCGGGTCAGGCACCGGTCATACCGACCCCCTATCGAGAGGTGCGCGGTACGGTCAGATGGCGTGTGGTGTGTCATTTACTCACTACGTGGCATGTTCTTCATGGGCCGGCCAGGTAAGCGTTAGGGTGTCCCATGGATACGTGACAACACACACTGTGATTCCAGGCCGCCAGAGACGCAGGTCAATGTCGATAGGCGGCGGTCTCTCAAGGTGAGACCTGAGGTAGGTATAGTCGATAGGCCAGTGTTAGATAAAATAAGAGAAAGTCTTATCACAGTTCTATCAATACAGCTGAATTCTGCTGGATTGCTGACTACTGCAGACAATTGCACCATGGGTGCTTACAAGTGGCATCTACTTTGGTGAAACTTCACTGCAAGCTAACGGCAAAGAAGAAAAGTAATTCGCGAACATACTTATACGTGCTCAATGGCTCAGAATATAAATTGCTATTCACTGCATAAACAAGCATAAGGAGCTCATAAGCACGGTCGTTATCGTAGAAGTTTTCGCATCACTTGACTCACTTCAAACGTTCCTAGATCACTCACACTACCACTAGGTCACTCGGTCTGAAGTTGAGCCATTTCCTTTTTTACTGTATGCCTGGCCTATTCAAATACATTAGCCAGAGGGGTGTGGTAATAGCTGGTGTAAGCAAAATGACCACGGTCAAAAACGAATTACCAAGTCAACATTTTGGGATGGCCTCGTTCAAAAAACGGCTAAGAGCTTCGGTCTAGACAATTATTTTATCGTTGGCATACAGTAAAATACATACCAAACTCGGCCGGTGATAAATTTTCAAGACCTCAGTCCTATATATGGCCTTGCCTCAGTCCTTACTGATTTTTGAACTCGGCCTTCGGCCTCGTTCAAAAATTCAGTAAGGACCTCGGTCTTGAAAATTTATTTACACCGGCCTCGTTCAGTATTATATATTACCAAATATCCACTAGAAGTCCATGTACCTACCTAAGTGAAGTTTGGCCGTCGTCCCTGAATCTACCCCTATGCGCCGACTAAGATCGATATCTTTGCAAACACGTCCAATCCATGAGATGATGTTTTTCGTACTCCAGCGTAGACGGGTAGCCATACGGCTTCCACGGTAGACAGTGATGACATCAGTCATCTTTTGCAAGCTCGTTAAAGAATTTGGGCTGTACGGGGACTCGAACCCCGGGCCTTTGGATTAGCGCTCCAATGCTCTACCTCTGAGCTATACAGACCAAGTACTTTAACGAGCTTTCTGCCAAGTTTTTATGCGGATCATTCTTAGGTGTTGTTTTTATCCGCTGGGACTGAGAGCGTGAGATGAGAACGTCCAATCCATGGATACATATCTATAATATACCCAGCTGCGTTACGAGCTATAAGGCAGGCGGCCAGGCGGTGCGTTCTGTTGCGTGACCGGTGGACAACAGTGACCTGCGACCCGGTGGGGGGGGGGGAGCCAGGGGGGCACTACTGGGCCGCAGTCGATGGTCACGCAATGTGCCGAATGCCGA